TAATATCATGACGTACACATACTATGCGATACACGAACGACTGTAGAAGCGACATTTCGTCGTTATAAAAGGAGCGGGTGTCCTCCAGTTAAAAAAGAACCGTTGCCAATTGAACGATAATTATTATTACAATTATTTTCGAGCCACATGCGCACGCCGCCACTGTAGCGTTATTCCCTCGAGAGACGACAACCGCGACCGTCGCGCGCGTTTATGATAATATATTCCGACCTTATATTAGATATTAATAATTTTATTCTCTCTGGTCGCGTCCTCTCGTTTTAAATTTTATAAACGCGCGAGCGTGCATGGCGGTGCTGCAGTGAGTGTATAATATTCACGAAACAATGATCATGATGCGATTCGGTGTTGTGGGGGGGGGGGGGGGGCTAGGTTTTATGCGTCGACATTCTCCGCTGATCGTCATCTCTTCCATCACACACACGAGAACGTCTATACTAAACCATTCGATCTTATACGCTTATTTACTTCAATATATATAAATATAATATTTACAGCTGCAGAGCGAAAATATATTATTATCAACATGTGTTACAGGTACATATTGTTTTATGTATAAAGTATATACAGGGTAAATCACCAAGCATGCTTACCCCCTCTTTTCCCTCAATAATGCAGCTGTTCTGATTTTTGGAATTTTTAAATATTATATACCTAAGACCATATTTTAAAATTCTCCAGATTTTTGTAACCGCCTGAGAAGTGTTCTGCAAACTTTTGTTTTTCAAATGAGATTCCCCCACCCCTTTTCAACTGTAAATAATTCCGTAAAGATAGTTTTTCTGAAAAATACCAAGAATTTAAATGAATTGTCCGAGCAGGTATATTCGAAGATTCCAAAAATCAGAATTTGAAAAGATTTATAATAATGAATAATAATAATAATAATAATAATAATAAATGTCATAAAATAACAATTATACAAAAAGGAGGGTGAGCATGCTTGGTGAATCGCTCTGTATATATGTACAGGAAACACAATTTATGTTATTAACTATTATGATGTACGCTCATAGATATTATAATATTCATATTAGCGAGTGTCGTAAGACCGTCGTGGAGTGGTGAAAACGCGAGAAACACACTTGTTCGTTAAGACTGCACTGCAAGGTCGGCAGGTATTATTAAAAAGGTATAATGAAGACAGAAACAGTGCCTGCATTATATTATTATTATTGCAGTAATACAGGGTCGTGATTTTTTTCGATAAAAATTGTTTATACATGCCGTTTAAAGAATACTTTTACTTTTGTCCATAATATTATGTTAGCAGATCACTACGATTTGACATAGAAATGTGATTGCTTAATGGGTTTTTTTAGGTGTTTTTGATATCGTAATTGGAAGCAGAGAGTTTTTTTAAAAACATCAATATCGTTGCACAGTAACATGATTTTTTTAATAATGAACTTTAAAGTTGTGACGAGTGAAAAAGTGGACCACTGCGACTATTGGAAGGCAGATAGTATAGGTATACTACTACACAGATTCTCTAGGCCATTTTATTCTCAGCTCACATTAACTTATATTTATATACAAAACTATTACATTTTAAACTCAAACATCAACATTAAATAAATAAAAGTTATTCTGCTGTATAAAAATATAATTTTTTTTCAAAATCATAAAAGCGATACATTTACTAAACGAGTGTACCTATAGTATACCTACAATTATCATCGAATAAAAACCCGACGAGAGAGTACGACTAATCTGCAGGTTGTCCTTGTAAGTTTGATGATGGGTAAATTTACTCTTTATATTACAGTAAGTACAAGTTTTTCAGATTTTTTCCTTCTTTCTTCCCTCGAACTTTCCCATCGACATTCTAAAACCGTGAGGCAGACCTATAGGTAGGTGGCTGCAATGGAGGGATGCACATAACATTTTATAGTTACCTATACCCTAACCACCTACAACATATGGGCGAGATGTGATCGGCTGTCGATCGGCCATTATTACTGCACGAGCTCGTCGAGGTTGACCTAAAAAACGTTTAACATTGCTGTTTGATGTGCACAGACACATCGATTCTCCTAAACACATATTATTATACATGCGAACGCACGACGTATACCCGCACGCACACGTAGTCCAATTTTGGAACGCGTCCGCCCGCCACTGCCGCTGCAGCGTTTTTCCGTGGAAGGCGGCCAACAATATGGTATATGGGTAGGTTTACGGTGCACGCGCAAAGCTCGCGGTGAAAGTCACTCGGCTCGGTTTCGTTCCCGAACAATCCCTCTAAAAATAGAGGTGCACGAACCCACTCGACGGACAATCGGAAACGCCGCCGCCGCCGTTATTTGTCTACTGCCCAGCGAACCAACTATACAGGGTGATTTTCTTAGCTCAACCCCATCCTCGCAACTATATAATAATTACCTACAATATAAACAATATTGTATTGGTGTTTCTCTGGAAAATTATTTTTGGAATTTTTAAATGTGCGCTACTTACCTAGGTAAGTACTCAAAAACCGTCTTTCAATGCAGCATGCACATTTAATAGTGGAACTTATTTTCTTACGGATTTTTTATGGAGACCTACAGAATTTTCTCTATTAAACAAAAACTTCTGAGGGTTTTTAAGCAAATCATTTTTTTTTTGAAATTGTTGATGTATTCAAATCAAAATTAAAAGAGGTACCTGCAGTATCATATTTGTTCTACTGTATTTATACAGATCTTCGATATTTGAATTTAAAATTAATAATTGTAATATTATAAGTGTAAAGAACAAATGCGGTAAATGGTTATATATAAATCATAGGTAATTTTAAAATATGTCTAAGTAATGCGCAAGCAGTCCCGGCAGCGTTGTCGATAACAAGAAAAAAAAAAGGTAATTTGAAAATAATTAACTTCGCTAAATATTAGGTACTATACTTATTAAAATATTATATTTTACGTATAACCACAGGTTCTAAATCCGTACCTTTTTACAATTATAGTACATAAAAAATATTCAATATTTAATGGGGTGGAATCAGTATAAAGTAACTTCAGGTAATAATCTATTTTGTAAAATATGTATAATGTATATTTCTTAAACTGGAATTTTATATAAAATTAAAAAATATTGTCTCTTTGTACAGTAATCATTTAGAAACTACTTTTGAATTACCCTTGAATTCAATACATCGACATTTTCAAAATAAACCATTTGTTGCATTTGGACAATGTGCGCGCAAAGTGAATTGAAAAGAAAGTCTGTAACACGCCACATTAGGACGGACCTTAAATGGCGTAGACAATAGTATTGGAAATTCTAAGTATTTTAAAATACGATCTGTAAGTGTCTTGTATAGAATTAAAAAAAAAAATCAGAATTCGGAGAATAAATTCATTATTATAAAATCAGGACACGAGCGTACTTAAAAAATCACCATGTATACACACATAACATACAATATATTATTGTAGCATAGACTAAGAACATGACTAAATCTCGTGTGTTTTCTCTGCGTGCGTGTGACGATTAATCGTCTGGAGAAAAAAAATGCCATCACAATAATAAAAGACTAGAGAGGAAAAAAACAGACCCGTACATGCCTCCCGCTGACATTTGTGGTACACGTGTGCGACGATCTCTCCGGTGGTCGCGCGGGCGTCTTTCAGGGATAGGAAAAAAATTCGTCTCTTTCTTGCGTTCCAGCCGAGCATAATATTCTTTTCCTCCCCGATCGAGAGAGGTCTAGGACTGCGGTGTACACGATATTAAAATGTGCGATAGCTCTGCGTGTGTCTCGAGAGTAGTTATAATAATAATAATATATCATAACATATTTTTTATTACGAACGGCTGTTGCAGCTGAAGAAATGTTTGCAGCGAGCGTGTGACTACTGCGGTATACGCCGTGTATTATTATTATTATACGAGCTAGGATTTAGTAATTAAAATAATTAGTCTGACGAGTCAGCAGAGATCGTATCGCGTCGACGGGATCCTGAATAAACTACAACAGATATACAACCACTAATAATGCTAGAAATACTAGAAAGGACTAAGTACTATAATATAGTTACAACCTACTACACCAACTATAAACGCTATACGGCTACTCCTACGATGGATTTACGTATAATAATAATAAAAGTATAATAAATAATGTCTTATATTACAATATATCGTTAATCGTCAATACGACAAGAGCACTGTCAGGTATTAACGTTTTAAGGAAACCCACTTATTTTATATGACAACAATATTAATTATATCGGGGCTTAGATGAGTTTTTTAAGGATTATGAGTCCCCCGATTAACGAAAATGGGAATGTTATATTATTTTTATTACTATTAGTTGTTATTGGTTACCAAATACTTCGGGGATCGGTACAGCACAATTATTTAAACCCCATCAACTGTAAATTTAGTTTGACTATTTTTGGATTTCGGAATTTTAAAACGTTGATTATTCGGAATTTAAATCAGAAATCAAAAATATGTACTGGCCGATCTCAAATTATTGACATTATTATAACGAGTTCAGATTAGTTTTCTGAAATATTATCTCATTGTTAGGTGGATTGATAGGATGGACAAAAAGTACATATACCTACAAATGAGCATTAATTGTTTATCGTCCACGATCGCAAGCCCGAGGTGGTGGTGACTTGTACAAGCGCGTGTGGGTGCGCTCTGCTATTTCTTTCACACACACTAATGATCACTTACTACGCACACATTTACAAAACCCAATGCATACAATTTGGATATTGCATATTTCTAACTCCTTAAAAACTGTCTGCCACCAATCCCCTCAAAGAAACCCATTTATTATTTATGACTTAAATATTAATCGTATGGGGCTTAGCCGAGTTTCCAAGGGACTATGAGTCCCCCAATTAACAACCATCCTAATGTTATAATTTTATTACATAGTTGTTATTGGTCACCAACTACTTATACCTACTTATGAAACTAGACGATATACCAATACGACAATTATCCATAGAACCACGAGTAAAAGTACGTACGTATTACAATTTAATCATCGGTACACGAACACTCAACGATTTCGTTGACACTGCCACAAATAAACTTGCATTTTGATATTATTCTTTTCCAGCCAAAGATTATTTTCCATCGACCATTGGGGATATCCATTTGAAATTAAAGTGATTTCGTTGTTGAAAACTGTTGATAAACTATTATAGTTATTATTATCATCATCATTGTCGTCATCGGAATATTTAAATGAGCTCGAATAACAATTATAGCCTCACCGTCGAGCTTCGTGTGTTACGTATTAACGTATTGAAGTGTATTATACATGCAGTTTGATTGTGTTATTCGATAACCGACGGACATCCCTGCGAGAAAGGTGTTTCCGTGTGTACGGCTTCTTTTGAGACGTATTCGATGTATCAACTGAAATTTGACCGCGGTCGTCCAACAACTAAAAACAAAAATAATATTCTTTTTTTAGTTTTTTACCCCTTATTATTTCAAATAACCACTCTAATTTTGAACGATCATTTTATTTACCTATCAAGTATAGTAAGGTACCCATCAAATGTTTCTGTCCCAATAATATTTCATACATACTTTGTCAACCAATAAATATTATTACTTGTAAATATACTGAGTAAAACTAAAATACGTTTGCGATCAAGTTGTGCATGACGTAAAATAGATTTAATAACACAAAGTAGGTACCTAATAGTGTAATACCAAGTGGTAGACATGCATGTGACACGTATCAAAAACTATAAAATATACAAGTGCCTACATATACTATAACTTTGTGTTGAGAAATGTATAAAATAATTTTCAAAAAATGTCACGAACGGAATTTATAATATTAGTTCGTGTTTTTTTATTTACAAGTAATAATTATATTATAATCAGATATACCTAACTCATTTTCACCTAGAAAACCATAATAATTGTCCCACGTTCGTAAAAATATAAATAATTACACTTTTATGAGTGTGATAATAAAATAAAATAAAGTAAATACTGCACTGAGTCACGTTTGAGCAAGTCGATAAATGTTCATTGATGTATAGACTTATGTAGTCGTGCAGTACTGCAATACTTTAATAGATATATAGTAAATATTAACAGTTTAATAGTATTTTTTAATTCACTTGAACTCAAAATTAAAAAAAAAATTAATTTGACCACGGCAGAAACATTTCATCCATCCAATTTTTGAGTAAAACTAATTCGTATAAAATATAATTTATTATGAGTCGAATTTTTATTAATAACCATTCAGTTAGAAAATATGCAAAATTTAAATCCGATTTACTAAGTATAAATGTATTAGTTTTAACTTTATTAGCAGGTAACAGTAGCTGCTGTAGTACCTATATAATATTATTATATGCTTCTTCTATAATATAGTAAGAAAATGAGTGGTTGAAAGAGGACAAACATGATAAGATGCTCTGCGTGTATATAATTATTTTCAAAATTGATCTACTTTAACTTCATTTAAATTAACCAGCGATTATTTCCGAACATGGTTATAAGTTTGGACAGATATATATGTATTCCTTTATCCTTATACATTCTTCATACGGACATCACGCATAGAGGAAGGTAATGTAAATAAGACATGTCGACCCTTGGATTAACGTGTATTAATAATATACTATTATATAAGTTTTTCGAATAAACTTACAATACAATAAATGAGTATAATTATTGTTAAATTGGTTCATGTTACAAAATAAACTTTTCGTACTTATTGTCATTCAAAAACCGAACAGCCAATCAATGATTATTATGTGTAACGATGGGGGGATGACGAAATTATAGAAATTGTTTTTTTTTTCAAATTAAAACGTATTCATGTTATCCTATATAATGGTCTAAGGTCTGTCTGTTTTTCTTCAGAAATCATGGCGAGATAAGTATAACTTCAAGACTTCGAGTGCTTAGATAAGGTAGGTACACCGCAAAACATGTTATAAGTATATAAAATAATTGTACAAACCTTCCGCATATCACCAATAGGTTATAATATTATTATCACCTGTTCACATGACTCTATAGCAGTAGTTTTAATAACTACAGTTTATCATGTCACATTTCTGTTTCTGAAACTCATTAGCCGCCGTTCACTAAACAGCTCCAATTGAATATTTTTTTCTGGAACGTCCCTGAAACCCTATAATATTAAAACGATGTAGTCTAGACGATTCCATATTTCTACACAATCGAATATATTATTTAAATGATTGTGCGACATTAGGCGAGTTATATCTAAGGTTTATATTTTTATAACATATTATGTATTGAAATAACCATTTTTATACGCTGGTATTTTATTTTATTTTTTTAATTTGATTATTTGCGTGCATGATAAACACAAACGCAATAACTCGACTGAACATATTATTATATATTTTATACATTTTTATTATATTGAAGTTTTTCACGACGACATTTTCGCACACCATCGAAAAATATTACATTTTATTCAACCGCCGCTAAAATAGAAAATATATTATAATATACTTCAATATACACTTGGCGCAGCACGGTAAAGGCGTTTTCCCTCTTATTCACGAGTCACTGAAAATACGTATATATATATACGTATTTTCAGTATATATGTGCTGTATCCATATTATAAACATACAGTAAAAACCGAATATATATACTTTCAGCAAGTAATAAGAATAACGTAGTTAAGGAGGTATATACATAATGTATATATAACATATACAATGTACGAATATATACATATATCTTATATATTGTTGTTGGTACATAAAAAGTATTCCTCGAAAAACCCATCAAAGGCTTAAGCGTGTATATATATATGTGTGTGTATATACCTCACGGTAATTCGGCTTTCCGAACGTCGCGACGTCGCGTAGTCGTCGTCGAAAAATCCATTAAAAATGCGCACTGCACCTATATAATATACACTCGAAACGCCATTTTTTTTCCGCCTCTTCTGTATCCAATACGCCGTAACCCGTGGGTACTTTATTTCTTACGATAATGTCGAGTTCGTGACGTTTTCGCCTAGCTCGGTTGCCTGGTGTACAGACACGTTTCGCCTGCAATTATATTATCGTACACGTACAACACACACATTGCACATAAAGGTACATATTATTATACTCGACGCGACGACGAAAGCAGTAAGTCTTGTAGCGGTAAAGTGCATGAGCGGCCGACGACTTTGACAGTGTCTTTCGTGCTAGTTAAGAAAATAATTTTATGTATTATTACGATGGGTGAAACGCGACGACGGTATCGACGAAGATGTCAAATTATTATTGTCGTCATCATTTTATTCGAACATAATCGACGATGTCAGCCAACGCGATTCGATTGAAAAGTGTCATGTGGCTCGATCTTATTGGCCGCAAGACTGTATAGGTACCTATGCGTTATCGAAAAACAAAAAAAGAACGTAACGCCCACGGTGATATTATTTTTATTATTCGATAAAAAAAAAACAAACGATTTATCTGCTGTATTGTGACTATACCCGTTGATTATAAAACACAAATAGTTTATTATTATAATGACGACGACTACAATACAATAAATGTATCGAATAGACTTATTATGACAATGTTTAAAACTATAAATTATTATTAAGTTACTACGGACACGTACGAGCGTCCAAACGGGTCGACTCGAAGTCGGTTACTGATAAAATATTCGTATGGATAAATTCCGTCGTCAATTAATAAATAAATCGTATCCGCTGAGCTAAAAATAAATTTGGAACTTATTCGCACGGCAAACGGGGGTGCCTAATTATGTGGGGCTACCTAAATCCCCGGCTATATCGCATACAATTTCAGACGAAATAGGTAGGTATCAGCTGATTATTATAAATAGCAGATAGTAGACAGGTACCTATAATATTACATATTTACGACGTATATTTAAAACGTAGTCTAATTATTGATAGATATATACCTGATATTCATACCACCCAATAATATATTAATTCGTGAATGTTATTAAAACATTTTTATAACAATATGCATGAGCAACGCACTATAAATTTTATCATTCAGGCACGCTAAACAAATGTATACCTATTGAATCAAATTTCTTCTATGCATTTAATATTTCCCAAACAAATATGCTCATTATGCGCTATAGTCCTGAGCCCTGATTATAGCACATACACACTACTTGGCGTTTTCTTATTTTTAATAAAAATATAATGTCTACACATGCGATAATACTATACTGGATAATTCACATTTCCTGGTAGCAAGGAAATGAAAAATCACGTTTAAACATAATATACATATTATTATACATTATTCACACGTACACCTACATAATAATATATCGTATAGACATTTGATATTATATAGTCACCGCGCTGAAGTTATAATAGGTTTATAGGTATATGTACTATTATCGCTACCTTCTGGTCGATTATACTTGTACAGGTGGGTACCAACCAATAAATAAGACAATATAGTATTATAATACGAGAAGAATGATGTAATAATTATTATCATACATATCAGAAACGCTAACTCTATACGTCTAGACAAAAATCTACATTCACCGCAGGTGCAATTATAATATATATAGTTAGAGGACAGTTAAACACAAACATAATATACAATAGACGATAAAAGTACAATAATAATATAATTTATTGTATTTACATAATGTAGTTGGTAAACGTTCTGGGTAGTCGTATTATATATATGGCACGCATAATATCACGTCAATATTCAATGGTTCGATATAACCGATATATAAGGTATGTAGTATATCTACTTACCGCAGCATTATATTTGTATTTGAAATAACGGGATTTGCCTTTTCATTTATGTAAATCATCAATAATGCATATGCACAATCCTTTTGTCGGTTCTTTTAAGCTAAAGCAAATGCGAGGTACAGTCGCACGATTCTTATGGGATACCTATAATATATTATACGGATAGTCGAACCGAGCCTCAGTAGGTACCTACCCACATAATTGTCGTGATGTGAAATTATAATAGTATAAGGTACCATGAAATGTAAGACATATATATTATATGGTACAACGTATGAAGTAGCAGTTAGACAAGTCTGAGTTCGCACTACTCAATAACATCTGCGAAAATGCTAAAACAAAACATTATACATAAACTGTAAATGGGTAGGGATAAATACTAATTAATTAATTATAATTTTGTTACGTAATGCATATACATACATACATAATACACACTGTTCTATACTTTATATACAGTTTATAATGTACAGAATAAGGAAGTGTATAAGGAAAGCTTAAAGTATTAATAAATATCTGTTGACTAACGGGCAATACAAACTATTTCCTATTAAAAAAAATACAAAGAACTGGAAATCGGCAAATATTAAAGTATGACTTTATAATTTAATTTAAAACACGGTTTAGTTTACACGCATATGTTATAAGTCAGCTTTTTCCCAAACTACATTACGTTTTACCTAACAAATCCATTGAATAAAGTGTCGTATTCATGGACGCCCATGGGTAAGTTAACCCAGGGTAAGTTTCAGGGGAGAGGGAGAACAGAATGAAATTAGATTCTATAAAACCTATCATTCTGTACGAACATAAAATGACTGGTTCGCTGATTAAGTATTAAGCATTAAGCAAAAGTCTGTAGTGTCCAGTATGGTATTAAATGTGAAATAAGTAAACGGGTTCAAAGCATATACCTATTATTTTATTTTGCATACTTTATTATTTTCTAGGGGGCATGTCCCCCTTTCCCACCCACAAATGTGCGCCCTTGGATATATTTTCTTTGTTAATAAGTAGGTATGATTGTCTTCCATGTACTTTGATATTGCGTTGTCACTTGTCAGTATGTAGTAAAAAATCGACTCTAAAAACAATGGGACTTGCTGTTTCTGAATCTAATTTCATATTATTAACGTAAATTGCAAAAATATATGACGGCGCTAATAGCTATCAGTCATCAATGTATATATATCGTATATTATAATACATTCTACGGCTGCGATACAAACGGCGTATAAAAATTCTAAACATGCATAGTCCCCGACGACGTAGTGCGTCTAATAATTATTGTAAGTCGTGCTTATTACGAGCTTTAGTGTGTGCTGTGTAGCGAGAACGAGCGGTTTCATTACAGCGGCGGAAGTGATTGTTGCGTTGGTCAATGAGTGGCGCGCTCGATGCAATAATAATAATAATAATAATAATCGCGGGGCGGTGAACGAGGGATGTGATTGTGGTAGTGGGGGGCGGCGACGTAAAAACAAGGACCAAGGTCAGCAGACGGTCCTGAGGGTTTAATGAACTTGAGTCGAACGAGAGCGGGTGCACCGGCGCATATTATATACATATATATATTAACGGGATGACGGCGGCGCTGATGACGCGGATATGAGCGGCGGGGTGCCGAAAATTATGTCAAGGGTGCGGTTTAATTTCCACGAGGCGGCGGCGAGTGGTTTCTTTTGCTCTCTCTCTCTCTCTCTCTCTTTCGCTCTCTACCTATCTGTTTTTCATTATAATTTCCCACCAATTCCAAATATATATATATATAGAGAGATTATACACAAACACAATACACACCGCTGTAGACGGTGGTACGCGTTATTTTATTATACAATACAATTATTGTTGTTATAGTTTGTACGTTTCGTTTCGCACGGCCTGCAGAAGAAAAATCCATAAAAATGTGCAATCGTCAGCGGCTCAAGTGACGTCAGTTTAATTTCGCCACCGTGCATTGTGTATGTGTGTGTATATATTATTATTGTAAAATAGTATTATTTCGGGGTTGCGGCGGCCATCTTGCGTGACGTCGGCGGGACGCTTTCGTGGGCGGGACGCGCCGGCCGCCCGGCCATCATGTGGCGGCGGTGACTATAATATTATCATATATACACGGTCCCTCGGGACTTTTACACACCCTCCGCCGCCGCCGTGACGCCACCGTGTGCATGTGACGACCGTCGTCATCGCGGCGATATGTGTAATCGTGTGTGCGCGCGCATGTGTTTGCGTGTGCATTTTTCACCCTCTCCGAGCGTGTAGGCACCGCACACCGCAAAAGTCATTCCCCGAAAATCGAATTTCCTACACAAACGACGAAAACTTATATAATATACATACACATGATGTAGGATAAGTAATGCCACCGACGACGCCGCCGCCATGACGCCATATACAGTGATAAAATAAAGATATATTTAGATTAAATGTATAATAGTCCGCGTACATTTATTTGACTTATGCCTACATAATATTATTAGATTATATAAATACAGTTGAGCCTTTAAATACCGGACACACCTGGTCGCTGAAATTTCTTCCGCTATTTGGAGGTGTCCGCCGCTGATTTAAAGGGTTCAAATAATGCAGAGAGTCTGAAGTTGATTCCTAAGAAAACGTCAGCTATTGAGAAATAAAATATATGTAGGTATTTTTTTATAAAATAACAAATTATGGTTTTATTACAATGATGATACAACAATTAATAGGTACTTTTAGTTACCTATGTTATTATGTATGCGCATTGATACTAACTATTTCTAACTTCCTAGTTATTATAATCATAGACCCCGAATTGTAGAACTAGCACCGCCCTAAAGTTCATTCCCGTGCACTTATCAGTTATCATAAAATATAGTAGCTACCTATATTGCCTTAAATATTATAATAATTAGTTTTTATATATTATTTCTAATTGAATATTAGTTATTGAATTGATATATAATTATGGTATTTTAAGTTGCGTTAGATTTAACAATTTCATCTGTTTCAAGTGAAAGAAGTAGTTGTTCTGTCATTCGATTATGCGGCGCATAAAAACCTTGGTCATGGAAGTACTTACCACACAATTGGTCAAGAATCAAGATTGACAGTCACATTTTTATCAATTACTTATATTAAAAGAGATAATATCGTTATGAAATTGTTTTACATAAATACTCTGAAATCATACTATGCGGTTTTCACACTCATTTTATAGCGCTGTAAAAAATACAATTTTGTTACACTGTAATTAGATAGTTATCTATATTTATCATTAAAAATTTTAATGTTATGGAAAATGAATGATTGGTCTAATGATCTATGTTCGTAATTACAAATTAGTTTGATTTTATTAATGACGTTAGGAAAATTTAATGGAGTTGTTGGTGGTATAATATGCGGGAAGTTTGAGTGCCGTATAGCCCCTCTCACGAGTCTGTATCCTCTGCAATATTTTCGGTGCTTCAGCAATCAGCAAACTAAGTACTTTTGGGTGATTGCGCATGTATATTTTGTAACATAAATTAAGCGGTTGCAATTTAGTTAATACGTCATTTTATATTATGTTTATTGAAAACTTATTCCAGAATTGAATATAATAAAGCTATTAGATTCAGCCAACCACTTCTGGATTTATTTGCATGCGCAACCACGCAACGTGGCCAGAATCACAAAATAAAAGCAATAATAATATTTTTAATTAAATTGTGTCGTGTGTAACAAATATGATAGTAATGATTGTTAAAAATAAAATTCCAATTTAATTATTATTAATGATATAAAATATGTTTAAGACGTAAAATACTACCTGAGGTATAAATTTTAATTGAAAATCATAATAGGAGTATACTAAATGATTTTTTTATTATTTATTTATTTTCTAAAACCAACCCATTAATATACTACCTATACAT